CCCCCCCCCCCCCAATAAAAGTACAAAAGACATGTACTCTTCCTTATAAGGGCAATACAGGGATGAATGTTCCTTTCTCTTTCATCAGCAATTAGTGGGAAACCATGAAAAACGCCGCCTGTAGGGCCTGGGGGCTTCCACACATTCGCCTGTAGGGCCTGGGGCTTCGACACATGGGCCGCGCTTTAGATGAGGGTCCCTTTTGGATCCCCTCTTATAAGGGCGCCGTACTATGTATGTATATGTATGTATATATATATATATATGTATATGTATATGTATATAGACATAGACATAGACATAGACATAGACATAGACATAGACATAGACATAGACATAGACATAGACATAGACATATACATATACATATGCATATCCATATACATATACATATACATATACTATATATTTGTATATATACATCCATATATGTTTATATAAGAGGGTACCCAAATTTAGAGAACTACTCACCTGGGCACCCTAACCCCGAAGAAAAACAAAAACAAAACTCGCTGCAGCGTTGCGGTTTGTATGCGCGAGGAGCAAGAACTCAGCCAAGCTGCACTTAGTAGGGTAGCTATAAATTACATTTTTAGCTGTCCTACTAGGAAACCCAATAAACCCAAAAAGGCTAAGGATCTAAAGTTACAGTAAAGCACAACGAACTCAGCCAAGCAAGGGCTTCAGGAGACCGGCTCGCTCACCCTTGTCGTTCTTCTGGCCCTCCTGCATCAAGCAGCAAACATTGAGACCCTAAACCCTAAACCCTAAGCCCTAAACCCTAAACCCTAAACCCTAAACCCTAAACCCTAAGCCCTAAGCCCTAAGCCCTAAATTTCGGGATGTGGGACTTTGGGCTTGGGGGGCTTGGGGCTGCTACAGCTGCCCTCCTCGTCGTTCCACCATCGGCTAAAGCCGACAACTCGTTCAGGCGCTGTGTCAGACAGTTGCACTGCTGGTCTGATGTGCTGGAGGTTCCCCACCTCTCAAGGCAGTCTTTTTTGGGGTCTCTGGCTGTTTAGGGTTTAGGGTTTAGGGTTTAGGGTTTAGGGTTTAGGGTTTAGGGTTTAGGGTTTAGGGTGTAGGGTGTAGGGTGTAGGGTGTAGGGTGTCAGGGTTTAAGGCTTCCGGCAGGAACAAACTGCACACCCACGTTTGCGATCAAGACGACCCGAAATGCCTCCACAAGCTCTGCACTCTGAACCAACGAGCTATGGGAGTTTGTCAGAATAAGGGGCCCCCGAATATGGACCGCCGAAATACACGGATCTCTTTATAAGAAGGACCCATAAGGTACCCCTAACTTTTCGCAGGCACCCTCAACCCTAAACCCTGAATCCTAAATTTCCCAAATCCTCCATGGCTACCATTTGAGCACACTCCTGAAACCCTAAAACCACTGCCTTGACCACATGGTTGCCCAAGCCGAAGAGAAGCCGTGTCGCACGCAGGAAGAAGTCCGGAAATGAAGGCATTTCGGCACCAAACCTGAGAACAGGGGCGGGTTTAGGGTTTGGGGTTACGGGTTCTCAGGGAAATGCAGGCACCAAGCCTCAGAACAGAGAAGGGGGAGGGTGGAGGGTTTAGGATGTACTTGAAGGTTCATGGTACTTACTAACCAATTATAACTGGGCTTATAACCCTACTTATAATTGGGATAACCCTTTTAAGTCCCTTTAGGGGTATTGTAAGTAGGGTTATAAGTACAGTTATAATTGGTTAGTAAGTACCATGAACCTTCAAGTAGGGTTTGGGGCTATTTGGAAATGAAGGCATTTCGGCACCAACCCTGGGAACAGGGGTGGTCTAGGGTTTGGGGCTTAGGGGCACCGAAGCAGGGAACAGGAGCTGACGTTTCGCACAGGCTTCTGCTTGCTATATTGGTTTTAGGGTTTCAGGGTTTAGGGTTTAGGGTTTAGGGTTTAGGGTTTAGGATAACAGCCAAAACAGAGAAGATAACGCTATTGAGCCATAAGTTTAGGGCTTGAGGGATTTAGGGGTTAGGGCCATGGCTCGCTACCTCCACACACACAACTTCGAAACGTGTTCTAACAAGCCACGGCTACTATTTGCTTTAGAAACCCCCAAACAAGAAAAAAAACAAGAATCCGTATATTGCCCTTGTAAGAAGACTGTTTCCAATTTTTCGGGGGAGTTCTTAGGCAAATTGTAGACACACATAACAGCGGGAAAAAAGGCTGAACTTGCAAAGCCTGGGAGCAAGCTCATCCAGGAGGCCGTTTGACACAGAGACACGTACACTCTCCTTGGCTGCACTTAGGAGGGTAGCTATGAATTAAATTTTTAGCTGCCTTATTAAGAAACCCAACAAACCCAAAAAGGCTAAGGATCTAAAGTTACAGTAGAGAACCGCAAAGTCTCGAGGCTTGCCCCGTCCTGGCCCTGTGGCACAAAGCCAAGATGGCTCCGTAGGCGCCCATGAAGCCAGTTGCGTAGTCTACTTGAGACAAGAGCTGGTATGCCAAGAACTGTTCCTAGCTGGCACTTGGTTCAGGTTTAGGGTTTAGGGTTTAGGGTTTAGGGTTTAGGGTTTAGGGTTTAGGGTTTAGGGTTTAGGGTTTAGGGTTTAGGGTTTAGGGTTTAGGGTTAGGTTTAGGGTTTAGGGTTTAGGGTTTAGGGTTTAGGGTTTAGGGTTTAGGGTTTAGGGTTTAGGGTTTAGGGTTTAGGGTTTAGGGTTTAGGGTTTAGGGTTTAGGGTTTAGGGTTTAGGGTTTAGGGTTTAGGGTTTAGGGCTTTCTGTTTTGTCGTTGTCTCGATAGGAACAAACACGTCAACAAAAACTTGCAGGATCGACTAAGCCAAGCTTCATCCGCAACAACGGCGACTCCAGTTGCAAAGTTGGCATTTTGCTGGAAGCCCTTACCTAGGACTAGCAGAGCCAAGGCCTATATCTAGCATGATGGCAACTTGGATTCTGATTGCCTTCTCTTGTTTTGTCTGTTACTTTGTTTTTTTTGTTTTTTTTTGGGGGGGGGGGGGGGGGGAGCAGCCCTTCAGACAGTCCTAGTCACAGCTGGCCAGCGGCCCCACATGACCATAGCAGGTGACGTCGACGTAGATGAGGTTTGGGTTGCATGCCTGCAGGGCATCCTTGCCGAATCCCTGCCTTTCCAAGACCTCAGAGTTCGGGTGGATTTAGAGAGTTTGGAGGTTCATGATACTCATGAACCAATGATAACTGTACTTATCACCCTATTCTAAGCCCCTTACCCTAAACCCTAAACCCCAAAAACTGTAGATCAGCCTAGGGCCTCGCAGGCTGCAACTAGGGCCCCGCACGCCTTCCGTGTAGCCGTCGATGAAGATGTCGGCGGCTGCCACCAGATCCCATAGCCTCTGCCTGTCGCCCTTGGCTTGCAGGTTGATATGTAAAGGCACCTTGGCTGACTTCTGAACCCCTCCTAAAAAGTTCAACTTTTAGGCTCCTTACTGTCGCTTTTTCTACAAAAGCCACCAAAAGGTCAAAGCCCTAAGAGAGCCCCAGCCAGAAAGCCAAGGCACCTTGCCGTGGTTGGTCTCCTCATCGAAGCAGGGGCGGCGCGGCCGCTCCGAGTAGACGACTTTGATGACCAAGGCCCCGTGCTCCGCCAAAGTGCGGCCAACGACTGGCGAGGCGATGATGTGCGTGAAATCCAGAACAACCACGCCAGAGAGCGGCCGGGTTGGAGAAGACTCCAGACATCTCAGGGGGGCAACCAAACCCTAAACCCTAAGCCGTAAACCCGAAACCCGAAACCCTAAACCACAAACCCTAAACCCTAACTCAAAACCCTAAACCCTAAGCCCCTTCCTCCCGAGGAGTCTTTTCAAGCCTTTCCTCGGTTCGCGGTTGCCGTTCCCGGAAGGCACAGGCTCGACAAGAACCACCGGGAGCGATGAGGTACGCCTGTACCTCGGCTCCCCAATTTAGGGTTTAAGGGTTTTAGGGTTTGGCGTGTTTTAGGGGTACAACCGCAGCCTGCACACCTAAAAACCTCTAAACCCCAAGGCGCTGTTCTGTTTGCCGCCACTCCTGGGGTGTTCCTGAGCTGGTCAGGGTCCGGGTGTAAGGATTCGGGTCGAGGGTCTAAGGGTCTGAAGGGTCCAAGGGTCTAAAGGAAGGGCCCAAGGGTCTAAAGGGTCCAAGGGTCTAAAGGGTCCAAGGGTCCCAAGGGTCTAAAGGGTCTAAGGATCCAAGGGTCTAAGGGTCTGACGTCCTAGGAGTCTACTTGGAGGTTCATGGTACTTATTAACCAACTCTCACTGTACTTATAACTGTGCTTATAACCATATTAGGGCACTTAAGGGGCTGATAAGTGGGTTATGCGTACAGTTATAACTGGTTAATAAGTAACATGAACCTCCAAGTAGGGGTCTAAGGGTTTACGGGTTCCAAAGCTCAAGATGAGCTCTCAAATACAGGCTCTGCTACGGACTTCCATTTGGCAGCCCCAAAATGTCAAGAGATCTTCATCGGACGACTTTCAAACATTTGCGAGTTGGGTCCTTCCTTGCTTATCTTGCTTGGGAAGTCACGCTGCCCCTTTTGAACTTGTAATGCCCATGTCCATTCATCGAGGTCTCAGCAGCAGCAAGATCTAGTCATTGCTTAAGAACCTCCCCAAGAAGATTCTTCCTGATAAGGGCAATATAGGGATTATTATCTTACCCCCTAAACCCTAAACCCTAAATCCCTAAACCCCTATAGAGATTGGACCAAGGCGCGACATTGGGTTACCGCCAAGCCCGCAGCTTGCATCGCCTTCTCCAGTTCAGGCGCGTTCTTCTGCTGGGTCTTGGTTTGGATGCTCTCCACCTAAGTTGGGTTCGAAAAGAATGGGGGGTTTAGGGCTTGGGGTTTAGGGTTTTAGGGCTTTAGGGTTTTAGGGTTTTAGGGTTCTAGGGCTTTAGGGTTTAGGGTTTAGGGCCTTTTAGGGTTTTAGAGTTTTAGGGTTCTAGGGTTTTAGGGTTCTAGGGTCACTTTGCTCATCCGTCGGCATGCACATCGTCAGCATCACAACCACAGACTGTCACACTGGCCGGAACGGCGGCCATCATCAGAAGCACTGGTGATTTTACGCATCTCGCCGCCCCGGTGCTTCTGTAACGTAAACGATCATCATCAGTTAGCATTTTCCTCTTGAACGACATCATCTTGTTGGATGCAGAACACAAAAGGCCAAATCCTCAGCACAAAAAGTCCAACTCGAACTGGGGCAAAACAGAATCGAAGTCCTTGCTGCAGCGTTCCGATGTATCAACCATGCCCAAAGCAACCACTTGGCCTAGACACGAACAACCATAACCATCGTAGAGGGACGACAACGACAACGACAACGACAACGACAACGTCCACGACAACGCCCACGACAACGTCCACGACAACGTCCACGACAACGACAACAACGAGCAGCAAGCAGCAAGCAGCAAGCAGCAAGCAGCAAGCAGCAAGCAGCAAGCAGCAAGCAGCAAGCCGCAAGCCGCAAGCAGCAAGCAGCAAGCAGCAAGCAGCAAGCAGCAAGCAGCAAGCAGCAAGCAGCAAGCTGTAAGCAGCAAGCAACGAAACGACGAGAGACAAACAACAAACAACAAGCAACAAGGAACGAGCAACAAGCAACAAGCAACAGCAAAAAGCAACAAGCAACAACCAACAAGCAACAATCAACAAGCAACAGCAAAAAGCGAGCAGCAAAAAGCAAGCGGCAGGCAGCAAGCAGCAAACAACGAGCAACGAGTAACGAACAACCAACAACGAGCCACGAACAACGAACAACGAACAACGAACAACGAACAACGAACAACGAACAACGAACAACGAACAACGAACAACGAACAACGAACAACGAACAGCGAACAACCAGGAAGCAACAACCAAGAAGCAACAATCAAGAAGCAACAACCAACAAGCAACAACCAACAAGCAACAACCAACAAGCAACAACCAAAAAGCAACAACCAAAAAGCAACAACCAAAAAGCAACAACGAACAACGAACAACGAACAACGAACAACCAACAACCAACAACCAACAACCAACAACCAACAACCAACAACCAACAACCAACAACCAACAACAAACAAGCAGCAAGCAACAAGCGACAAGCCAAAAGCGACATGCGACAAGCAACAAGAACAAGCAGCAACAGCTACAGCAACAGCAGCCCCAAACCCATAGGCCCTGAACCCTCAAACCACGACCACACACCCTAAGCCGCGAACCCTGAACCCTGAACCCTAAAACCGGCGGAAGGGCTTTTTTTTGCAAAGGTGTGGCTCGGCCATGTTTCCTTGCAAAGGTGTGGCTCGGTCTTGGTTCTTGGTTCGGGGCTGCGAAGACTGTAAATTGCAGCATTTCTGCGTTTGCAGAGGCTGCAAATACGGTAAATAACAGCATTTGTGCGTTGCCAGAGCCTGCAACTACTGTAAATAGCGGCATTTCTGCCCATGACAAGGCAGCATTTGTGCGTGTCCAGAGGTCGCAAATACGGTGGCTAGCAGCATTTCTGAGTTTGCTAGCGGCATTTCTGCGTTGTCAGGGGCTGCAAACACTGTAAAGGCAGCATTTGTGCGTGTCCAGAGGTCGCAAATACGGTGGCTAGCAGCATTTCTGAGTTTGCAGAGGCAGCAAATACCGTAAATAGCAGCATTTCTGCATTTTCAGAGGCTGCAAATACGGTAACTAGCAGCATTTCCGAGTTTGCAGAAGCTGTCAATACTGTACAAATAGCAGCATTTCTGCGTTTTCAAAGGTTGCAAAGACGGTAAATAGCAGCAAGTTTAAACCCCCTCCCCCATTTGCAAACACGATGCTCGCATGATGGGTTTCTGACAAAATGTTCTTTCAAAGCTCTGTGCGTCTAAAAAGAGCAGGGGGGTTGGGGGGAGGGGCAGCCCCGCCCCATTTGCAAACACAATGCTCGTATCATGTGTTCGAAAAGAGTGTATGGCTTGTAATACGTTCTGCAAACACAGTGCTCGCATCATGTGCTTGAAAAAGACTGTACGGCTTAAAATGGGTGGCAGCCTTAAAAAAAGCGGGGGGGTTGGGGGGGGGGGGGGGGGGGGGGGCGCAGGCCCCCCCCATTTGCAAACACAATGCTCGCATGATGGGTTCGTACGACGAAAAACCCCCCCTCCCCCATTTGCAAACACGATGCTCGCATGATTGGTTTCAGACATGTACATCTTCTTTCAAAGCTTTTTGTGCGTCTAACAAAAGCGGAGGGGTTGGGGGGGGGCGCAGCCCCCACCATGCGAACACAATGCTCGCATCATGCGTTTGCAAAAAGACTGTACGGCTTAAAACGGGTGGCAGCCTTAAAAAAAGCGGGGGGGGTTGGGCGGGGGTGCAGCCCCCCCATTTGCACACATAATGCTCGCATGATGGGTTCGCACGCCGTAAAAGCCCCCTCCCTCATTGGTTTCAGACAACATGTTCTTTCAAGGCTTTTGTGCGTCTAAAAAGAGCGGGGGGGTTGGGGGGTGCGCAGCTCCTCCCATTTGCAAACACAATGCTCGCATCATGCGTTTGAAAAAAGACTGTATACGGCTTAAAATGGGTGGCAGCCTTAAAAAAAAAAGAGGGGGTGGGGGGGGCGCAGCCGCCCCATTTGCAAACACAATGCTCGCATGATGGGTTCGTACGACTCTTAAAACGTCCCTCCCCCATTTGCAAACACGATGCTCGCATGATGGGTTTCAGACAACATGTTCTTTCAAAGCTTTGTGCGTCTAACAAGAGCGGGGGGGCTGGGGGGGGCGCACCCCCCCCCCCCCCCTTTTTGCAAACACAACGCTCGCATCATGTGAAAAAAGACTGTACGGCTTCAAATGGGTGGCAGCCTTAAAAAAACGCGGGGGGGTTGGGGGGGGCGCAGCCCCCCCCATTTGCAAACACAATGCTCGCATGATGGGTTCGTACGACTCTTAAAACGTCCCTCCCCCATTTGCAAACACGATGCTCGCATGATGGGTTTCAGACAACATGTTCTTTCAAAGCTTTGTGCGTCTAAAAAGAGCGGGGGGGTTGGGGGAGTCGAACCCCCCCCCATTTGCAGACACAATGCTCGCAGCATGTGTTTGAAAAGACTGTACGGCTTGAAATGGGTGGCAAGCCAAGCCAAGCCGAGCCAAGCCGAGCCGAGAAAAGCCAAGCCGAGCCAAGCCGAGCCAAGCCAAGACGAGCCAGGCCAAGCAGAGCCAAGCCAAGCCAAGCCACGCCTTTGCAAGGGGACAAGCCAAGCCAAGCCACACCTTTGCAAGGGGACAGGCCCGAGCCACACCTTTGCAAAAAAAAAACCTGGGCCCCCTAAAACCCTAAACCCTAAACCCTAACCCCAAACCCCAAACCCTAAACCCTAAACCCTAAACCCTAAACCCTAAACCCTAAACCCTAAACCTGTCAGCCCAAAACACGTCGCAGTCACAGCCGAAGAAGTCCAGGATGCCTTGCTTCCTTGTTGCTTATCTAGGTGGACCGTTCAACCCTAAACCCCAAACCCCAAACCCTAAACCCTAAACCCTAAACCCTAAACCCTAAACCCTCAACCCCAAACCCTAAACCCAAAACCCTAAACCCTAACCCTTACTCCTAAGTACGGTTCTCTAGTAGAGCCCCAACGAAGAACAGTATGAACCATCCCAGGAGCCTGCCTAGTTCTTCTTCGGGCTTATGGATTATGAGGTTTTAGAGGTTGCGTTTTAGAGCCTATTTCGTGAGCGGAGTACGCGAAATGTGGCGAAGCTGCTGCTGCTATATGCAGCCTGGAACCTAAACCCAAACCCTTAAGCCCTAAACCTTAAACCCTAAGCCCTAAACCCTAACCCTAGATAGCATGCTGGGCTTTGGAATCCTGCTTTCGGTTCGCAGATCGCAGTTCGTGACTCTGGGCCTGCACAAAATGCTCAGGGGTTTAGGCTTAGGGTTTAGGGTTTAGGGCTTAGGGCTTAGGGCTTAGGGCTTAGGGCTTAGGGTTTAGGGTTTAGGGTTTAGGGTTTAGGGTTTAGGGTTTAGAGATTAGAGATTAGAGTTTAGAGTTTAGGGGTTAGGACCCTGCGTCCCCTCTGAACATCTCAGCAAGCGTCAGCTTTGGCAGGCCCCCATGCACGAAGACGAAGCCGCCGTCCCTGTTGCCGGGCACACGTTCTCTAAACCCCAAGCCCTAAGCCCTAAAGTCCTAAACCCTAAACCCTAAACCCTAAACCCTAAACCCTAAACCCTGAACCCTGAACCTGAACCCTAAACCCTAAACCCTAAACCCTAGACCCTAAACCCTAAACCCTAAACCCGGGTTCCGTTGGGCAGGCTGCAGCTCGGAAACCCTTGTCCTCCCTTAAGCGAGGGGGTTTAGGGCTTAGGGCTTAGGGCTTAGGGTTTAGGGTTTAGGGTTTAGGGTTTAGGGTTTAGGGCTTCCAGGGTGTTTTTAACCCCAAGGTTCCGTTTTCCACCCTACTACTCCCTAGGATCCCTAAGCTTCCCTAATTGAAGTCCCCTCCCTACGATGGCAAGGGCCCCCGAATATAGACCCCCAAAAAATCGCAGGATCCCTGTATATCATAAGGATCCCAAGAAGGTACCCCCCCAATTTCGGGAAAAAAAAACTCTCATTCCTTTCTGGTTGCCCCTTGCCCCTTCAGCAAACCTCAACTCACCGAACTTAACCCTACAGGATATCCTAAATGTTAGATGTAGAGTAGATAAAGAAGTACATAAAGGTTTCAAAAGCTTGACCCTTAGCCCAAGCCGACTAAGCCGGGGACCCGGAACCCAAAACTCTACACCCTACAAGTCCTCCATAGGTCAGGCAAACAAGTGGTTTCAAAACTTCTGGTGCTGAAAGCAACTCTCAGCCCGTAGCTTGGGACTCCATATCTCAACCAGCAATACTAAATACTAGTTCATTGTTGGGATGATATTAGAACTAAATTTGTTTATTCCTTCTTGCGTTTAAGTACCCTTAAAAATGTAAAATGTTACCCAATTCTGACAAAGAACAGGCTTTAGAGTTTCGGGCTTCGGGCTCAGGGGCCTTTAGGGATGTTTAGGGCACTTAGGGGGGACCTGCCCATGAAGGTAGTCAGCGCCCCTCCCGCCTGCATGGGTAGGGCCGCCGCACAGGGTTCACGCGCGACTCTGCCTCGATCGTGGCACGGAATCCCTCGCAGCCTCAGGCGCGCCCTTCCATTGAGGGGGGGGTTCATGGGTCCTTAGAACCCCAATTTTCAAGTGCACTTTCTTCAAGCCCCCTAAGTCCTCGGAGTAGGTGATACGTAGGCTTAGAATTGGGGTCATGCTTGCTTGGAGGTTCATGGGCACTTAGAACCCCAAGTAGAAGTCCACTTGTCACCTGCTTAGAGGACTTATGGGGCTCAAAAGAGTGCAGCTAGAATTGGGGTTGTGTAAGTACCCTGAACCTGAAAGTAGGCCCGCATCCATTCATGGGGCGGTTTTCTTTCATATTGAAGTAGGGGTTATATGTCTTGTTCACGCGAAAGCTTGTAATTGCCCCTTTAATATTATTATGATAGGGGCTACAGGAAAATAGTATTGTCCCGCGATTATAAGGACTTCTTTTATTACGCGGGAATAATATTAATCTTAATATTGCCCCGGGCGAACGTACTATAAGCCCGGGATAATTTAAAGGGAGAAAAGATAAGAGAAAGAGAGAGAAAAGAGCATAATATAATATCATGACGGGCCCCTATAAATATAGTATTAATGGGCCCTATTATATGATTAGTACGAAGAGAACAATGAAAAGAAATCCAGTATATACACTCACCAATATTAAAAAGGAACCTTATATACACTCACCAAGAACAGAAATATATATACCCTGCTTCATATACGTATCAGGATCTTCGCATGGTATAGAAGAGTCCACTATTTTGGAGAACGCCCATCTTCTACAGCAGCTGGGCTGGGCTCCACTGAGCCTTCCACAGGCTAACCCTTCAAAATAATCGTGCCACAAGCGCTAAACCCTAGCCCTAAACCCTAAACCCGAAACCCTAAACCCTAAAAACTCAGTCCTAACTGTGTCTTTTGCTCATGCTGCTTAGGGTTTAGGATTGTTGTTTGGGCTTTCAGGTTTTAGTCAGGCTTTAGGGTTTAGGGTTTAGGGTTCAGGGTAGGGTTTAAGCCGAGCCTTTGTAGTTCTTGTCCGGGCTAACTCCTCGGCATCTCGCACTTCGGGCTCTCAGGCGTAGTTTCAGGATCTGTGGGGAGGGGGGGGGGAGGGGGGGTGGTTCTAATCAAATGGTTGTACCTTGGACCCTTGAGGTTGTACCCTTGAGTTTGGGCACCCTTTGCGAAGATCCTTAAGGTAGTATAAGGGCCATATTCGGAGTTAAGGGGAACCTTAGCGGTACAACCTTAGGGGTACGAGCCTTAACCCCTAAACCCTAAAACTTGGGATGTTCCCCCTTATACTAACAGTGTTTCATAGGGACTATAATAGGGGGTACCATCATCCGAGTATGAGGGGGAACATCCCAACCTAAAACCCTAAACCTGGATTCCAGCTTCGGAGGTTCTGGAGGAGCCACAATAAACGTAGCAGGCTGAAACGATGCTCGGGGACCCTTCGTAAGGAACCCGAAATCATCGGATCCCCTTCAGGCAGGGACCCCGAGAATCATAGGGTACCCTTGCAAAAGACGTAGTTCGACGACAAGGCCTCTTGCAAGACGGGAATTAACATGAAGCATATAGGTTTAGGGTTTAGGGTTTAGGGTTTGGGGTTTAGGGTTTAGGGTTTAGGGTTTAGGGCTTAGGGTTTAGGGTCTAGGGTTTGTTTAGGGTAGGATTGTTGAAACAGCCCTGCAAGAAGACATTCCGAACCACTCTCATGCAACTCTTCTCAAGTTCTGAGATTAGTTACATGGTCCCTTGGTGTGGGCACCCCTTAAATACCCCTTGTATACCCCTATAATTCAAGCCCATACTTCAGAACCCTTCATAGTAAGGGACCATATTAAGGCCAGAACTACTTAGTTGTCCAGTAGCCTGGGGGATTCAAGGTGAACCTTTAGGATTCTAAGGGGATGTTACTACCCCAAAAAGGTTAAAGCCTACCTACTCTACTACTAAGTAAGGGCCCCATAGAACTACTCTCTTGGATAAGTTGAGTCTCTGAGGTGGAGGTAGCCAGCTGTGACGGCGCCCGCATCGCTCTGGCGAACGCGGACTGTCTGTGCCGAGCCCCCACGCATCTCCACAAAGTCTGCCACAGCCAAGCCAACCGCCCCCAGACAGGCCGCCGCAGCCTCCACACTTTGTAGGGACCCTAAAAAATAAAACATAAAACCCTAAACCCTAAACCCTAAACCCTAAAATCTAAAATCTAAAACTAGGGCTTGGGTGTCTGGAAAAACGAATCCCAACAACTGCCGACGACACAAGCTTTCTCAGGAAATGCAGTGTACAGAAGGGAAGGCGATGCCAGGGTTTAGGGTTTAGGGTTTAGGGTTTAGGGCTTAGGGTTTAGGGTTTAGGGTTTAGGGTTTAGGGTTTAGGGTTTAGGGTTTAGGGTTTAGGGTTTAGGGTGTAGGGTGTAGGGTGTAGGGTGTAGGGTGTAGGGCGTAGGGTGTAGGGTGTAGGGTGTAGGGTGTAGGGAGTAGGGCTTCGGGTTTAGGGAATAAGGTTTAGGGTTTAGTGTTTAGGGTTTAGGGTTTTCAGTTGGCTGGACAAGAGGGCCCCCGAATGACTTAACTTTTATGCAGCGGATATTCTGGGCTCAACAGCCCAAGCTCCAGCTTGACTGGAACAAACTACTAAGGTGAAACCCAGAACAAACAACTTTTTGGATCCTATAAGTTCTTTTCTCTAGAATATAGTCTCTTTTGGGGTCCTCAAAAAGAAATCGCCATATATAGTATGGCACCCGGAAAATCAGGACCCAAAAAGGGACCTAGTTCAGAGAACATCCCCCAATAATTGCCAATAAGTCTCCTGGTCGATGGGGAGATAGGACGGGATCACCTCAAGTGATCTTGATCTTAGATTCCCCGGCAATATTTGCATGCTAATGTTCCTTGTGGTCCCCTACCACCAACCTACAAAACCCTAAGCCCAGAACTTGAACCCCTAAACCCTAAACCCTAAGCCCTAACCCTAAACCCTAAACCCTAAACCCTAAACTCTAAACCCTAAACCCTAAACCCTAAACCCTAAACCCTAAACCCCAAGCCCTAAACCCCAAGCCCTAAGCCCTAAACCCAAACTAAACCGGACATCATCGGGTTCTACCTTGGACCCCTCTAGGCTTACCATTGGATTTGGTGACCCTTTCTCAAGGTCCTCTAAGGGAATAGACCCAAAGAGCCCAATACCCCTTCATTAAGGAAAATTCCTCAAATCATGCTAAGGATCCCTTTATAATTTAAGGTATACTCCTTAATTAAGGAGTGTTGGGCTCTCTGGGTCTAAGGGGATAGAAGAGCTATATTAGGAGCACATTGAGGGAAACCTTTATGGGTACAACCTTAGGGGGGTGCGAGTCTGAATCGCTTGATGACACTTGGAGAAAGAAGACGAAACCCTAAGCCCAAAACTTGAACCCTAAACCCTAAACCCCAAACCCTAAACCCCAAACCCTGAACCCTAAACCCTAAACTGAAATGTATGTTTCCAGATGCTGCCGCAAGGCACCGAGAAGTCGGACAGAAACTCCACAGACGACTTGCCCGGATGAGTCCGAAGACCGAGCAACTCCAAGAACCCGGTGTGCTCCTGACTTGCTGGGTTTTGGGGTTTAGGGTTTGGGTTTGGGGTTTAGGGTTTGGGGTTTAGGGTTTAGGGTTTGGGGTTTAGGGTTTGGGGTTTAGGGTTTAGGGTTTGGGGTTTAGGGTTTGGGGTCTGGGGTTTAGGGTTTTGGGGTTTAGGGTTTGGGGTTTGGGGTTTAGGGTTTGGGGTTTAGGCTTTGGGGTATAGGGTCTTTAGGACTTCATTCGGACTTGGGCTTTAGGGCTTAGGGGCCTCTCAGAGGCATCCGGGTGCTCAAAGCGCCCAGGCTTACTTTCCAAGTCTGGCCAGGGTTCATGCAGAGCGGAGAAGCTGCTCGCCGGGCAACCATACTCAAAGTGCCCCTGACTACAGCGGTCAATGTAAACCTGGCGCACTCCTCCATAGCCTCAGGTTCGGTTCTCCCACAAAGGAGGGGGGGGGGGGTTGAAAAAAAAAACGCATGAGTTGCATGAAGGAAAACCAGAACTTCTACCAAGAGCAGAGCGGTAGCTTGCAACCAGCCGCGCCCAGGAATCAAGAGCTAGCCATAGATCTGGGCTCAGAAAGAGCAGGGCCGCCAACATCAAAAGCAAGAGGCTCCCTGCCGCGGCCACCATCCTGAGTGATTCTTCAGGATCTATATTGAAGAAGGGCTTATTTTGCCTGTATCCGCAAAAGGACACCCAATATATACACTCACCATTAGGGTTTAGGGTTTAGGGTTTAGGGTTTAGGGTTTAGGGTTTAGGGTTTAGGGTTTAGGGTTTAGGTTTGGGGTTTAGGGTTTAGGGTTTAGGGTTTAGGGTTTAGGGTTTAGGGTTTAGGGTTTAGGGTTTAGGGTTTAGGGTTTAGGGTTTAGGGTTTAAGGTTTAGGGTTTAGGGTTTAGGGTCTAGGGTTTAGGGTTTAGGGAGGATGGGCCACTATACCCTATATCCCTTAAAGGGCCCTTTATAGGGTTCCTTCTGGGGATGTTGAGGCCTATCAGCCCATACTGGTACCTTCTGTTGCCGGAGGATTGTGGCACAGCCTACGTCTGAGTATACGTCTCTAGCTCCCGAGGATGGCGCTCAGCTCCTGGAAAAAAGCACGACCAGGATGGGCCATTGTACCCTACACTCCCTTAAAGGGCCCTTTATAGGGTTCATGATGGGAATTCTAAGGCCTACTAGCCCATCCTGGTAAGAGGCCAGAAGCCGAAGCCCGTCCCCTAAACCCTAAACCCTAAACCCTAAACCCTAAACCCTAAACCCTAAACCCTAAACCCTAAACCGCTCTCCCAACGATGATGGAGGCTCATCAGCACGTTGCCGCGGAGGACTTCTGCTTGAATGGGTGGGCTGCTCGAAGAGACCTTCCACTTCACTAGCCCCTAGACCCTAAACCCCAAACCCCAAACCCCAAACCCTAAACCCTAAACCCTAAACCCTAAACCCTAAACCCTAACCCGAAACCCTAAACCCTAAACCCCAGTGTATTGGGGGTCCCGAGCTAGGAGTTGGAGACCAGGTTTTTGGGTTTGGGGTTTGGGGCTTGGGGTTTAGGGTGTTTCTATTGTACTTTACCTATTTGCTTTTTTTGGGGGGGAGCCACTGTGAGGGGCGGCAAGTCTGGATTAGGGAGGGGAACGGCGGAGGGAAGGGTGGGTGATGGAGGAGAACAGGCGGCTGTACTGCCAAGGACCCTCAACCCTGTTAGGGTTTAGGGGTTTAGGGGTTTAGGGGTTTAGGGGTTTAGGGGTTTAGGGGTTTAGGGGTTTAGGGGTTTAGGGGTTTAGGGGTTTAGGGGTTTAGGTAGTTTAGGTAGTTTAGGGGTTTAGGGGTTTAGGGGTTTAGGGGTTCAGGGGTTTAGGGGTTTAGGGGTTTAGGGGTTTAGGGGTTTAGGGGTTTAGTTAGGCGTTTTGGGGCTTAGGGTCTTGAAGGAGCTCAGGGGCGTTTGACTGCTAGGGCCCAAGGCGTCTGCGGTGTGCGGAGTGGGCTCATAAACAATCCCTGGTTCTTAGCAGGGACTGAGGGAATGAGGGCCCTATTTCATCCCTTTAAGGGTATATATATATAATTATGGAGGGTCATCCCTTTGGCCCTCATTCCCTCATTCCCTACTAAGAACCAGGGGGAACAGGCGAGACACTGCGTTGAAGTGCTCTCGCCCAGCGCTGGAGGCTGACACGTTCCTAGCATCAAGTGGCTCCCAGGGAACATATCTGAACATGATTGAACTCGGGCGTCAAGTGAAACATGGCCGTGATTTGGCTTTGGGGTCGTTACAAAGAAGAAGAGGAAGAGAAGGTTGGGTAGAGGAGAGGTTCGGCTCAATGCAAAACATGGGTAGTCAAGGAGAAGCACACACATTCAGGAGGCTTGCTTCTGCACCCTAAACCCTAAACCCTAAACCCTAAACCCTAAGCCCTAAGCCCTAAGCCCTAAGCCCTAAGCCCTAAGCCCTAAACCCTTGTTTCAACCAAGATTCAAGAAGTGAGCAAGCTTGCCCAGGGCATCCCCCGCGCTGTCGTCCAAAATCAGAAGCCGCTCTGCTGGCACCGTGGCTTTCACGTGCTCTTCATAGAGCTGACGCTTTTTGATGTGAAAACGTGTCCTAGGCACCCAAGGAGCCCAACACCCCTTAATTAAGGAATATTCCCTAAATCATATTAAGGATTCCTTTATGACTTAAGGTATATTCCTTAATTAAGGAGTATTGGGCTCTCTGGGCAGCTGACACATAAGTGTGATGTGGGTATACGGTGTCTAAGTCAGGGCCCTTTTTGGGGGTTCCTGCGAAATAAGAGGGGCCCGAACTTAGAGAAATACCCATGATGTCCCATAATGCCTCGCCCCCCCCCAACCCCCCCTAAATCCTAAACCCTAAACCCAAAACCCAAAACCCAAAACCCTAAACCCTAAACCCAAACCCCCCCCCCCAGAAAAAAAAAGAAAAGAAATCGCGAGGCGCGGCTGCCAGGAGCCGAAGATGAGCTCGTCGCTCTTGCCTGAGTTGCGCTTGAAACCCTTGGTAAACAACTTTTTTGCATAGGTTGCCTTCAAAGGAAAAAAGGGATATTCAACACAAACCCCAAACCCTAAACCCTAGACCCTAAACCCTAAACCCTAAACCCTAAACCCTAAACCCTAAACCCTAAACCCTGAACCCTGAACCCTGAACCCAGTTGCGGAAGGCGGCGGAGAGCTCCGGGAGGTGGTCCAGGTCCAGCCCCGAGGGCGGAGGGAGCAGGGACAAGCAGCGCAGGATGCTCCCCAAGCCTACTTGGAGGTTTAGGGTTTAGGGTTTAGGGTTTAGGGTTTAGGTTTTAGGTTTAGGGTTTAGGTTTAGGGTTTAGGGGTTTAGGGTTTAGGGTTTAGGGTTTAGGGTTTAGGGTTTAGGGTTTAGGGTTTAGGGTTTAGGGTTTAGGGTTTAGGGTTTAGGGTTTAGGGTTTAGGGTTTAGGGTTTAGGGTTTATGGGTTAGGGTTTAGGGTTTAGGGTTTAGGGTTTAGGGTTTAGGGTTTAGGGTTTAGGGTTTAGGGTTTAGGGTTTAGGGTTTAGGGTTTAGGGTTTAGGGTTTAGGGTTTAGGGTTTAGCGGGTTTAGCGGGTTTAGCGGGTTTCGGTTTAGGTTTAGGGTTTAGGGTTTTAAATCCGCCGAGGCCTCGGGCCGAAGGTGTATAGGTTGTCCTCTCCCCAGACCCAAAGCCACTTTTCGGCCCCCTTTTTTTGCTTCAAATGGGTACCCCCCCCTAGGAGAGGAGGGTCCGCAAGCGGATGTCTCGCCAGGACCAGAGGCAGTTGCAGCCCATCCCAGCAGGGCGCCACCCCACCACCTCCCCCCAACCCCCGCCCTCCCCCGCCCCTACCCCCCCCCCCCCGCCCCTACCCCCCCCCCCCCCCCCCATCCCCCCCCCCCCCCCACCCACCCCCCACCCCAACCCCCCACCCCCGCCCAGAACCCCCCGCTAACCCCCCCACCCCACCCTCACCTGCCCCCCCAAACCCCCCCCCCCACCCCCCCCCCCACAACCCACCCCACCCCCCACCCCCCCCCCACCCCCCCACCCCCCCCCCCCCCCCCCCCACCCCCACCGGCGGAGTTTTCCTGCTCCGACGCGCTGGCTTGAGGGTCACACCATGAGCACGGCCGCAAATTAAGTGACACGAGCCGAAGAGTTTAAGCTGGAACCTTGACACGAACTGGAAGCTCCAGACAACCTTAAGCCCTAAGCACTCAACCGTCAAACCCTAATCCCTAATCCCTAAACCCTCAACCCTAAACCCAGCTCTGCCACGCCGTGCTAGGGTTGTCATTCTGAATGTTTGGGGTTCAGGACACGTCGGCTTCTTGCTCATGCAGCCTACGCCATGCACTGGGACAGGCCGAGGCGGGTCGCGTAGCGTTAAAATTAAGGGTTTAGGGTTTAGGGGTTAGAGGTTAGGGTTTAGGGGTTAGGGTTTTGGGTTTAGGGTTTAGGGTTTAGGACTTGGAGGTTCATGGTACCTATTAACCAAGTAGAACTGTACTTGTAGGGTTTCGGGTGCTTAGAAATGTACTTGTAACCATAGTAGGGCACTTAAGGGGCTTATAAGTGGGTGATAAGTACAGTTATGACTGGGCTATATTCCTAAGCCCTAAACCCTAAACCCTAAACCCTAAACCCTCTCTATCATATGTATGTAAATATATTATTTATTTATTTATGTATTTATTTATGTATTTAAACCTTCGGGACTTTTCGGCCAATCTGCCCCCCCCCCCCCAATGTTCGTGACTTTTCGGCCAGTCTGACCCCAACGTTTGTGCTTTTCGGTCAATCTGACCCCAATGTTCGTGACTTTTCGGCCAATCTGACCCCAATGTTCGTGACCAATGTTCGTGACTTTTCGGCCAATCTGACCCCAATGTTCGTGACTTTTCGGCCAATCTGACCCCAATGTTCGTGACTTTTCGGCCAATCTGGACCAGTGTTGGTGCGGTCAATCTGACCCCATTGTTCGCCGGCGGGTGGGCCCCAGAAGGTTCAATGGAAAACATGTCCGAATTGGGTAGGTAAAACTCTCTGGGGTAGGATGAAATCCTTTCATTTTCTTAATGTTATGGGATTCTTTGGGCGGGTGGGTTTTGTTCTAAGCCTGGAACCCCCCTAATGATTATGAATGCTGAACAGTGACCCTCCAGACCCTAAACCCTAAACCCTAAACCCTAAAACCTAAACCCTGTACAGTTATAATTGGTTAAGAAGTACCATGAACCCCCAGCCCCGGAGGGCCCTTAGGGTCGAAGGTTTCAGGGCTTCGCGGGTTTGAGGGTTGAGGGTTTAGGGTGTTTTTTTAGGGTTGAGGGTTGAGGGTTTGGGGTTTCGGGTTTAGGGTTTAGGGTTTAGGGTTTAGGGCTACTAAAGTATTGAAAATCTCCCAAGGACCTAGCTAGAGGCGTAAGGCTCTGGACACGTGGCTCAGCAAGAACAGGACTGGCGACCGGGTCCAGTGGTAGAGCCAGGTGTGTGCCACGTAGGACTCGTAGCTTTGGAGCCAAGATGATGCCTCCTTCGTTGTCCTGAGTTGCTGAGTTCATAAGCCCCAAGATTTTCGTGTACACTTTTAAAAGCGTACCACTTTCAGTTCCATAGGGGAATTGTAGTATCCCAAACCATGTAAAGTGTACTCTTTCAGCTACTAAGTGTCAGGATCACCTTCGCGTTGGGGTAAGCGCACCTCAAGCTGTCAAAGAGCGCAGGGACGACCGGGTCCAGCAACGCGCCCTTGCCAGGAATGTCCTGGAACACTTTCTGCACATCAGGGTCCACAATCGCGCCAGTGTAGAAATGCGACATGAACTCGAAGTAGCGGGTCATGTAGCTTTGCCAGTGCATGGTCTCATAGCCGAGCTTCTGGAGGAGATGCTGCATCGAGCTTGAGCCGGTCAACGGCACACCCGCCACAAGGACCTGCGGGTTTACGATACTAGGGGGAGATTAATGGGGCCTCTTTGGGGATCCCTTACTTTCGTAAACCACCACCTCGATGTTGGCACCTGCATGGGCATCACACGACACCCCAGGGTCGTTCACCTCCCAGTCTGCAGGCGTGGTCTGGAAGGGGTTGAAGGTGCTGGAAGCCAGGGCAAGAGACCTGGGAATCAGCTTGCAGCTTGCGACAGTTTTGCTGCACCTCAACCCTAAACCCTAAACCCCTTTGAGGACAATACAATCGGCAAGACAAGCTCTTACCCAAGGGCCGCGGAACACTGCCACTGCGACTGCCCCCACAAGGACGGAAGCAAGGCGCTTCTGGGGTATCGCCATTGCAAGAGACCTCAATCCTACACCTTGAACCCTGAACCCCGAACCCGAAACCCTAAACCCTAGCCCTAAACCCTAAACCCTGAGCCCTAAACCCTGGCCCTAAACCCTAACCCCTAAGGCGCAATCTTCGCTCCTTGAAGATGCCAAAACCGCGGCTTCCGCAAGGAGGTTGGTACATGAGACAGGTGTGAGCTTATAGGGTTTCTGGGTTGGGGCTTAGGAGTAGGAGTTTAGAGTTTGGGGTTTAGGGTTTTGGGTTTAGGGCTCATAGGGTATAGGGTATAGGGTATAGGGTATAGGGTTTAGGGTTTAGGGTTTAGGGTTTAGGGTTTAGGGTCTTAAAGTTTTAAGATGTAGGGGTTGTAGACTGAGTCTGCTGACCATAGTCTGCTTCTGCCTTTAACTTCTAAGTCCGCCCTAGCCGAAAATTTGAATTCCCCGTGTGTGACTTGCGCAATCAAAAGCAGCCCACAAGCTTGGTTTGCTTTCACGGTTGCTACAACTTGCGCATGATGTGCAGCTGTCACACCCACCCACACCCTAAACCCTAAACCCTAAACCCTAAACCCCAAACCCCAAACCCTAAACCCTAAACCCTATAACCCTAAAACTCATGGGGCTCGAAGTCCTTGCTCAAAGCCGCCAGCCTAAACCCCACCTTCCCTTGAAAACCTTACAATGTGTGGTGGGACGCCTCCTTCAGTGGGCAAGCAAGTACTCTTGAATTTAAGGGATCATGCAGGCTGCCCATACCTTGGGATGCGGACACCTATGCTGGCTTTAGGAGGCTCCGGGGTTGAATTCAGACAGGGCGGCACCCTATGAACCTCTGATGCCAGTCAGGGCGTATGCCTTCCTAAACCCTAAACCCTAAAACCCCCCCTGCCTGCCCCCTGCGTCCGACCACAACCCTTCCACGCTGAGAGCCCGGGCAATGATCCTACTTCGAGGTTCATGGTACTTATAACCCAGTTAGAACTATAGGCCCCCTTAAGTGCCCTAACATGGTTATAATTGGGTTATAAGTACAGCTATAATTGGGTTCATAAGTGCCATGAGCCTCCAAGTATGGCCTTTGTCCACGCATGTTCCTTTTTTTCCAAGCTGAAGAATCAGATGGAACGAGCATATTAGCATATTTGCAAACATTATTACATCTCCGCTGGACCTTCCATTTCGTCCAGAATCTCAGTCAGAGGCTGGAAGAGTCGCGTGGAAAAGGAGGCGAGTATATACCTGGAACAGGTCCAAAAACTCACTTACCTGGGGTTGCTCTTGCCTGAGCATTTGGAAGTGGAGTTCCTGAAGCATGGACTAGCGGCAACTGCGTGACGGCACAGCAAGGGGTCCCAAATCCGTAAACCCTGGTCAGCGAGCTTTTTCGTGGCTGCACAGGAAAGCCGCGAACCGAACCGCAAACCGGAACCGAACCGCCAGGAACCGCATGCGCGAAGGAACCGTATGAACCGTGAACCGCCGAAACCACCACAAACACGAACCGCCATGGAACTGAACCTCAAGCCAAGTTAACCCCTCCAGCCCCTCCAGCCCCCCCAGCGCCAGCCCCTCCAGCCCCTCCAGGCCCTCCAGCCCCTGAGGGGTCGGAGGGGTCGGAGGGGCGGAGGCGCTGGAGGGCGAACCGCATGAACCGGCACCGTTCCAGAGTGTGTTCCCGGAAACCGAGACGAACCTACACGAACCGTGGCCTTACTGGGCTCAGGGTTTGACACGCGGCGCGTGAGGGTTGTTCATCTCCTTGAGGGCAGGGTTGAGGGTTGAGGGTTGAGGGTTTAGGCTTTAGGGTTCAGGGTTTAGATCACAGGTATGCTTAGGCTTGTCTAAGCCCTAGTGCTGGGCCATCCGGATGCACGTTGCTTGCTGAATCCAAAAACAGCTCGCTGGCGCCCACAAAAAACCCCAAAACCTAAACCCTAAGCCCTAAACCCTAAACCCAAAACCCTAAACCTTCAACCCTAAACCCTAAAAACACAGGGCCCGGACAATCCAGCTTCTGTCCCGAGATTCAGGATGACCTGGGCCTCGGAACAGCGGCTTGGGGTTCAGGGCTCACTGGGACATTCAGGCCACTGTAGGGTTTAGGGTTTAGGGTTTAGGGTTTAGGGTTTAGGGTTTAGGGTTTAGGGTTTAGGGTTTAGGGTTTAGGGTTTAGGGTTTAGGGTTTAGGGTTTAGGGTTTAGGGTTTAGGGTTTAGGGTTTAGGGTTTAGGGTAGGCATGGAGGATTAGACTTGGCATGTGACTCTGCCTTAGACAAGGGGCTCTCTGAGCCTAGAATTTGGGGTTTAGGGTTTGGGGGTTTAGGTTGGGCTCTTGGGGTTAGCCTCCCAATTCGCATCCACGCGATACAGCAAGAAGCCGGAGCTAATGATAGACGGTTTAAAGTTTAGAGAGTTGCGCGTGGCCCCTTGCGGTTACCAACAGAAACCCAAACCAAGACGAACGCCAGCTGTAAAAACACACACACACACGCGCACGCACGCACGCACGCACGCACGCACACACACACACACACACACACACACACACACACACACACATACACACATACACACATACACACATACACACATGCACACATGCACACATACACAAATACACACATATACACGTACACACGTACACACACACACATACATACACACATACACACATACACACATACACACATACACACATACACACATACGCACATACATACACAGATACATACATACATACATACATACATACATACATACATACATACATACATACATACATACATACATACATACATACATACATACATACATACATACATACATACATACATACATACACACACATACACACATACACACACACCTACCTACCATGACTACCAAAACCCTCCTCAATCGTTGGTTTTGCCACTGCTCCCCCAGTCACGTTCAACCAGTCGTCTCATGATCGACCAAGGCTTGAGAGTCTCTGTGATGTACGGCGAGCGTCGAGGTGCCAACTGATCGGCTCAACTAGCGGATCCCTGTGGCTCGGTCTTTACGAAGACAGAGTTGATGAAAGTCGTGCCGTTGTAGCCGTACATGTCCTGGATCGCCGCGTCCACCATGTAGGACGCGGCGCGCTTGCCCATCGCCGCGTACATGCGCGCAAGTTTCGCGGGAGCGAAGCTGCCGTGCTTATAGTTGGCCATGTCCTCTGCGTCCATCCAGCTCTGGTCAGGTGTGCATGGGTGCGTGTCCTCGTACACAATGTAGTCACCCGGCAGCATCGAATCATCGAGCGCGGTCATAACTATCTCCGCATCGACGTGGCAGTCCTCGGAGATCATCCACGGGTGCGGCAGGCCGTCGAGCGCCTTGCGCAGGTTGGCCGCATCACAGAGATCGAGCTGCAAGAAGGTGATGTTGCCGAGTGACGTCATGTCTTCCTTCGTCGCGGCCGTGCGCTGGTCCACAATGTCGATCGTCACCACGGTGCAGCCGTCTAGCCCCATCGCCCTGGCCTGAGTGGCAAACCACACGGCGGAGCCACCACCGGCGGTACCAAGATCAAAGATGGTTCGCGTGCGCTGCCGCTCCATGAGCACCGAGTATGTGTGCAGCGAGAGGGCATCCTTCATCAGCACATGGCCTCGCCATCGGTTTTTGTACTTGCCAACCATCAGGCGAGCCATCATCTGCAAGTCGATGACCGACTCATCCGAGCGACTCGCCAGCGGCACAAGGACGGGCTGCAACCACTCCTTGGCCTGCTGCTGCGCGAGGCCCGCGGCTGCGTGCCAGTTTCCGTTGTTCCATCCGAGTGCCGATTGCTGAGGGGCCGGCAGGCCCGCGCCCACGCCACCGCCGCCAGAGCGCTTCCTCCGCCAGCGATAGAGCAGCGCGGCGAGCGCAGCGGTGCCGACGCCCAGCACCAGAAGCGCGGCGGGCCGCGTCGTGGCCATCTGCACGACTGCAGCTAGATACAGTAACTTCAACTTGCTGCAGACTGTACCTGCGGGAGTGCGAGGGAGGACGATAGGGAGCATTGTCGGGATTGATATGCTAGCCGAGTTCCCTTGAACACCCCTCCGAGAAGAGCCTTGAGATGAGAGCAGCGACCAGGCAAGCTCTTGTTTTGGCAGTGGGTTTGGGGGTTTTGGGATGAAGCTGAACATTCCACATCATGGTGGTGCCCTCCCCCACGAAGACAGGAAAAGAGGTGGGGTCCTCGCCCCCTCTAACATTGGAGAAAGCAGGGGAACTAGCAAAGACGGATGGAATGATGTTAAGGATCCCTATATTAAATATGATTTAAGGTATACTCCTTTCTTGGCTCTTTGGGTCACAGTGGCTCCCTCAGGCATCACTTCCTAGGATGGCCCGTAAAACCCTCAGAAAAATATTCTTGGAACATGATCCTCTTGAACCCAATTGGTTTAGGGTTTAGGGTTTAGGGTTAAGACAAACAAAAACAATCAAAAACATCCCAAGAGCCTACGTAGTCAATTCCGAGCGGCCGCAGCTGAGCTCTAGTGTCGGGCTCCTTCAGCTGAGCCTCCATATGCTGGAAAGGGTGCCAAGCGATTCGGAATCAGGTTTAGGGTTTAGGGTGTAGGGTGTAGGGTTTAGGGTTTATATATAGGGTTTAGGGTTTAGGGTTTAGGGTTTAGGGTGTTGCGGAGAGGGACTGAGGGGGGAGGGACAGGGTTAAGTTGCCATTCCCTTCAACCCACGTTCTTCGAGTGGGGGTTTGCAGTTGGGATTGGTACGCGCCCTTGCGACCAAAAACGCTCGAAAACGGCACGCTCCCCCTACAACTACGTGACTTCGAGTGATGACGGCGCAGCCAACGGAGCAGATTTGTTTTTTTCAATGATATTTTATATGGATGTTGTTGGTATAATTTGCAAAAGCAGGCCGAAAAGATCCGGAAGAGAACCTCGAAACGACTTCTCACAGCCCTCCCTCAATGAAGAGGCCGTGTCCAGGGGTGTTCAAAACAGTTCGTGAAGATGTTG